CATATGCTTATCTAATTCCCTTTTGAAGCCGTCCATGCTTGTAGCACCCACCACTTCCTGTGGCAGTGAATTCCATGTGTTAATCACTCTTTGGGTGAAGAAGTACTTCCTTTTATCCGTTCTAACCCGACCGCTCTGCAGTTTCATGGAGTGCCCACGAGTTCTTGTATTGTGAGAAAGGGAGAAAAGTACCTCTTTCTTTACCTGCTCTTTCCCATGCATAATCTTATAAACCTCGATCATGTCACCCCTTAGTCGTCTTTTCTCCAAGCTAAAGAGCCCTAAGCGCTTTAACCTTTCCTCATAGGGAAAGTGTTCCAACCCTTTTATCATTCGAGTTGCCCTTTTCTGCACTTTTTCCAAAGCTATAATATCCTTTTTAAGGTGTGGTGCCCAGAACTGCACACAGTATTCCAAATGAGGTCTCACCATTGATTTATATAGGGGCATTATTATATTGGCTGATCTGTTTTCAATACCCTTCCTAATAATCCCCAGCATAACATTGGCTTTTTTTATTGCAGTCACACACTGTCTCGACATTTTCAGTGAGTTATCTACTACAACTCCAAGATCTCTCTCTTGCTCAGTCTCTGCCAGTTCAGACCCCATCAATGTGTATTTATATTTAGGATTTTTGGCTCCAATGTGCATCACCTTGCACTTGGCCACATTGAACCCCATTTGCCATGTTGACGCCCACTCGCCCATCCTTGACAGATCCCCTTGGAGTGCCTCACAATCCTCACTGGTTTTCACCACCCTGAACAACTTTGTATCATCCGCAAATTTAGCCACTTCACTGCTTACTCCCATCTCCAAATCATTAATGAACAAGTTAAAAAGCAGTGGACCAAGTACTGATCCCTGCGGAACCCCACTGCTTACCCCCCTCCACTGAGAAAATTGCCCATTTATACTCACTCTCTGTCAAATTACTTTATGGGAAAAACAAAGAGCCTAGGGCTTTGGCTTTCTGGCTCTTCTTGGGCTTCTTAGAGAGCCCCTAGTCTAAGAGTCCCTAGGCTAAGAGGCACAGGCAAAGAGCCCTTTAGCTCGCCCTTCGGCTCGTGCCAGAGGCTCGTGCCTCTGGCAAGGTGCTTTAAATACTGAACTACAGTCAATCCCAGTCAAACAATGCCCCTTCCTTTCCCTCTCTCAATCAGCTAGGACTCTGCAACAACTCTAAGCGCTTCCACACACTGCTAAACACAGTTTTCCCACACAATATCCTCAGCTGAATCCCCTCAGCTGAAAGCAAGTAGAAAAAACACTCACCCTTCTAGCCGCTCTCTCTCCTGTTCCTGCAGGAAGACTGCCTTTCTCATTGCCATTACCTTGGCCAGGAGGGTGGGCAAACTCATGGCCCTTCGTCATGACCCACCCTTTCTTGTCTTCCTACCAGACGGTGTGAGACTGGTACCGGACTTCTCTTTCCTTCCGAAAGTGGTCTCCGAGTTCCACCTCATCTCTGAGATCTTCTTACCAAACTTCTTTTCTAACCCGAAAGATGGCCAACAGCGTCTCCTCCATGCACTAGATGTTAAGAGGGCACTACTTTTCTACCTTGATAGGACACGTTCAAGTAGGAGGGACAATCACCTATTTGTCTCCTACTCCAGTCACTCCACAGGACAAAAAATCTCTGCATAACGTCTCTCCAAATGGATTGTTGAGACTATTAAACTGTGCTACCCGTTGGCTAAATGCCCATTGCCCTTGCCTGTGCGAGCACATTCCACAAGATCCATGGCTACGTCTACAGCCTTCTTGAAGGGTGCTTTCCTGTCAGCGATCTGTAGGGCTGCAACATGGTCTACTCCGAACGCTTTCATCAAGCACTATGCTGTTGATGTTCATGAATGCCACAGAGTAGACCTTGGTTGTCTAGTCCTTTCGTCGGCAGAGCATTGGATTTGCGACAGCTTCCACCTCCAGGTGAGCCACTGCTTTTCAATCTCCCATGGGTGTGATGCACAGAGACCATGAAGAAGATAAACAGGTTGCTTACCTGTAACTGATGATCTTCGAGTGATATCTGTGCAGTCATACCACCCGCGCGTCCTTCCCCACTGCTGTTGCTTCAGTACTTTTCTCTGGTTACTGACATGACAGCAGTCAGAAGGAACTGTGTGTGTCAGAAGGGATGTCTACACACTAATCAGTGAAGCTGCACCCCAGGTCACCACACCTGCTATGGCGCTGGCAGCCAGTCTGGGATCTACCATAACAAAAAGCTTTAAAGAATCTACAGTCCAGGGAAAAAGCAGTGCGGTGTAGACATCAAGGGGCTAGATACAGATCTGGGAGACCCAGGTTCAGATCCCCACTGTCATGGAGCTTTCTGAGTGACCTTCGGCTAGTCACATACACTTTACCTAGCCTACCTCACTGGGCTGTTGTGAGGGTAAAACAGGGAAGGAAGAACCATGTATGCCACACCCAAGAGTCTAGCTATGCAGGAACAGAAGTTGAACGCATAAAGCTGCCTTATACTGAATCAGGCCATTGATCTAGCAAGGTCAGAAGGGTCTACTCCAGCTCTCGACATTCTCAGGCAAAGGTCTTTCTTGTCACCTGCTTCCTGAGTCACTTGAGTCACTTTAAGCTGAATCAGACTGTCAAGATCAGCACTGTCTACTCAGATTGGCAGCGGCTCTCTGGGATCTCAGGGGGAGGTCTTTCACATCACCTACTACCTATTCCTATTAACTGGAGATGTCAGGAATTGAACTTGGGACCTTCTGCATGCCAAGCAGATACTCTACCATTGAGCCATGGCCCCTTCCTGATTCTGATCCTTGTAGATGGATATGTTGGGAATGCACCACGTGACCTTCTGCAAACAAACCAGATGATCTACCACTGAGCTAAGCCCTACCCCCAAATTCCCACTGAACTATTAATTGTAGATCATTAATTCTACATTTCTCCCGAGAAGCCACACGCAACCGTATCACATATGATCATAACATATCACTCAATGAATTCTGCCTAGTCTACCTTCTAATCAGTGGGGGGGGGGTTGTTAAAAAAAAGATCCCTACACTCATGTGTAATCTTGCACCAATGGACTGAATGAAGAAGTGGATTGGAGTCACTGTCTTTGAAAAAATGTGTACTTGTCATTCTGTATTGGTTAGTGCTGACCTTGTGATCCCCCCCTCATTGAGTTCTCTCTCTCTCTCCTCTTCACCCCCTCCCATTATGTGACCCCTTCCTTGGCAATAGCATTGTGCAATGCATGTGAGTGATTGCATCATCCCTGGGTTCTACTCTATAATGATGTAATGTTAACAGCTTGTAACTTGACTACTACCTTCGATAGAAGTGACACACATCCTGACGAATGGGATATTCTCTACCAGGTTTGCTGGCTAATTTAAATATTTTCTAGGCTAAAATTATTCTAAAATCTGACTACTTATAAACTTTATTAATTGCATTTCTATTTTTGTGTAGAATAATTTGGAGAATTTGCACAGCTACTACCTATGGCCCACTATACAAACTTGTAGCAAATTCAAAGCATATAAGGTAACCCCAGTAAAAATGCATTATATTTAACAAAATAATTACTATATATATATTTACTATATACATTTGTTATATTTATTATATATCAAATGTATATAGTAAATATATATAGTAATTTTTATTTTTTAAAAAAGACATTTTTACTGGGTTTACCTTATATGCTTTGCATCTGTTCATATAGATATACAAAATTCTTTAAGCATGTATTTCTGGATGTGTGTCATTGCAAAATAAAGAATATTGACCACTGAGGAAGGCCCAAAGGGGCTAAAACGTATATGGTCATTAGGTCATAAGTTTTACCCATCAACTGGATATGTATAACTCAGCTTTGATTATATAAGCTTTAGACTATTTAGACTATTTCTTTTAACTGTATGTATGTTTTAGTTTTTTGTACACACTAATAAATATTTGTAATTTTAAATACAATTTATATGTTAGTTTGACCCTCTCAGTTCACAGCTACATTTTGGGTTGAGTTTCCTCCCCCCCACTTTTCTTCTAGTATTTATCAGACCTGGGTTCAGATCCCCACTCATGCCATGGAAGCTCACTGGGTGGCCTTGGGGCCATTATACTCTTTCAGCCTAGTCTACCTCACAGGGTGGCTGTGAGGATAAAATGGAGGAGAGGAGAGGAGGATGTAAGCCATCTTAGGTCCCCATTGTGGAGAAAGATGCTGTACAACTGAATTAAATAAATAAAATAAGATCCCCACTAGGCTATTCCTGGGTGCCTGCTGTCTCTTTTTCTGGCTGAGTGTGGTAGAATAGCGCACAAGTCATTAGCATATGCCACACCCCCTGACATCACCGGAAGTGTGTCATAAGGCCACACCCCCTGACATAACTGGAAGTGTGTCATAAGGCCACACATCCCGCCCCCAACAGTCCTGGCCGCTGCCGCCAGCCTTGCAGCTCCACTGCCGAGCCCCATGAGGAGCCCGGCAGTGGACCTGTAAGGCCGGCGGGAGTGCAAGGAAGCCCCGCGAAGGCCCTCCCTGGCCCCAGGCAGGCAGGGGTAGGGAGAGGCAGGGAGGAAGCAACTTACCCTCCCTCTTCTCCTGCCTCCTCCTGGCTGAATGAGGGCCAGAAGCGGGGCGGCCGGAAGCAGGGGGCGGGGCTTCATCATGTGCCCCACCCCCATACCTCACCTGGGGGAACTGCGATCCCCCCCCGAAATGACCTCTGCTGGGGAGTACCTTTAAAAAAAAGTTTCTAATAATGTAGGTATGGCATCACTCTGAGTGCTGTTGTAGCTGCTGCACTGCTTGAATTGTACAAGTGTGTCTTCGAGAAGGCAGAGCACTGATGGCATTCTTGTGCTGCCCGACCAAAGTGTGCTTAGAACATCTGAGCACACCTTCTTAGTCATTTTCGGTTACATATTAGTAGCTAACAAACAATAAATGAAAGAGTTGCTGCATATAACAGTGTGAAGGTGTTCAACCTTACCAATCCCAATTCCATTTTCTCCAGTTTTCTACAGACTTTGCCTTCAGTCTGATAGATTCAGAAGGCTTGATTGGATTCATCTCGGCTGAGTTTGATTCGCTTCTCACACCACATAAAATGTGAGAGCATGAATATTGTCTTGGTTTTCATTTTCTGGAACCAGTTCTGTAAGGGAGAGGGGGGGAGGAATCTCTCACAGATAATGCTGGTCTTACAGACCTACACCATGTCCATCTTTGGCCACAGATCTATTGAACAGAAACAGACATAAAGTAATATTACGTAGGGGGTTAATGTAAAGCAATATTATATCAGCAGCCCAAGCAACCCTGATTAGCCTGATCTTGTCAGTGCTTGGAAGCTAAGCATGGTTTGCCGTAATCATTACTTGGATGGGAAACCACCAAGGAAAGCTGGAGTTGCTAGGCAGGGGGAAACAATGGCAAATCACCTCTGTTTGTCTCTTGCCTTGCAAACCCCACAGTCCTGGGGTCCCCATGAGTCAGTTATAACTTGATGGCACATAATTATTATTCATATTATAGGTGGCATGATCCCTGGCAGCTCTTTTTTGAAAGCAAAGAAGTACTGCCCACCTCTGCCTTAGAAAACCATTTAACATATTTGCCCGGACATTTAAGGGTTAAAATGGGACTCCCAGGCCATTGATAAACTTAAAGATAGCACTGGGCACCTGATGGTATCCATTCACTTTCACAGTGTTTCTAAAATAGCGCAGTTATCACATTGCAGGTTCATACTAGGCCTGCAAAGCACGTGATCCACTGACACAGCTCACCAATTACACACTGAGGTCGAGTCCTTGACAACCTCCAGGCAACACAGCCAGGTTTCTCTGTCCCCTGCAGGGTGCTCCTCTCCATGGCCAGCAAGCTATCCTCAGCTTGGTATTGTAGATCTAGTGCGTTTTGACCCCGCCCTTCCTTCGAGGAGCTTAGTATGGCTCTCCGTTTTATGCTCACAGCAACTCTGTGTGGTAAGTTAGGTTGAGAAATGGTGGGTGCCCCAGTCCTAGTTCGACACTCTGAGCCCTACACCCTACTGGCATGTTCTGGTGCCAAGCTCTGCAGGGCTGTTGTAAAAGGGTTGCCTCACTATACCAAACAACAACATGTGTGATCATACCTAGAAGCTGGGATCATGAAGGACTGTTATGTGTAATGGCCTAGACTGAGTGCAGTGTGAGACTATGGATCCCTGAACAATCCTTGTATTTAACTAGTGAAGCTTTGTTGTGACCAAATGCTTAAGCCCTCTGAGTGGTTATTCAAAAAGCATGCTTGATGGGCTTGTCAGAAGTAGCACAAATGCTCTTTTCTCACATGAGGATGATAGCAGATCTTGCTTCACTTGGCTTCTACAAAGATATTGGTCAGAATGATAATATGCATTGCATACTAAAAGCCTGCACCACCTATTTGATCACATACAACAATGGGGTAGAATGCACTCTCACATGACATTCTATCATGCCACCTTCAAGCACTGAGCGCTTTCATACCACCTTCAGCACTGAGAAAACGTCTCTTGGTCTTCAGCCTGGAAAGCATGTTGAGCATCATCTGTGGAACTGCTCTTGCTGTGGAGCAGTTCTAGCTAAGCACTGTTTTCCATAAAAGACAAATGATTTGAGGCCCTTTCCCCCCTCTGTGATTAGCATAACAGTGTTCCAATCAACAAGCATGCTGCAGTGGTCAGTATTGGGTGAGGATCTAGATTTGAGTCCAGTTGCACCTTAGAGACTAACAAGCTTTCCAGGGTATAAGCTTTCAAGAGTCAAAGCTCCCTTCATCAGATACATCAGGACTAGGAACTGGGACAGCTGGGTTCTCATCCCCAATCTGCCATAGAAGCCAGCAAACCTACCACACAGGGTTGTTGTTGCGAGGATAAAAATAGAAGAAGGGAGAATTATATTGTAAGCCACATTGGGTCCCCTTTGGGAAGAAATGCGGGGTATTGATATATAAATAACAACCATAAGAATCTAAACAGTATCTGTCCCGAAAGAGTACAGTCTGAAGACTTCCAAGCGGTAACTGATTCTGAAGCAAAATCTTTTTGGATTCTCATTCTCTTCCGGTCTATTCGGGCATGTCAAATATTGACACACTGGATAGACTGCGGCAAAACATGGCTCTAGAATAGATTGTCCCTCATAGTAAGTGACAATTTGGAAGTGTTTAACAACATATGGTCTCTTTTGCTTGACATATATGATTAAGAATATATATATTTTACATCAAAATATAAAATACCATCTGTCATAAGTAACAACTTGGATATTGGCTTTACATATGCAATTAATTCACTGTACTTTCTAATGTAAATATTTCCTCTTCTTCTCTTTTTTCTTGTTCTGAATCTATATTTATTTATGATATTCCAATATATGTATCATTCACGAGAAGACAATGCTGTGACTCAAGAGATCATTAGGAATAATGAAAGTCTGCTTTCGCTTGGGATCCTAGGAAGCACGAACCGTATCAACAGGTGGTGCAAATCTGCGCAGTTCCATCAACAGCACCGGGAGGGTTGGCATTTTGCTTTGTTAGTTCCTCTGTGTGTGTGTGTGTGTGTGTGTGTTTTTAAAAATAGGATGAGATTTAAAAGATGTTATTGAGGAGTTAATTAACTGCAGTGAGACTTTTGTTCTCCAGTCAAAGACAGAAATATTCAAAAGTCTACAATTTGTCCACGCTTTACATGGATGCGGGCAGCATCCACATGAGATACAGTTGCCCTTCTAGTTGCGTTGGGCCCCAGTGAGAAAAGTGGACTACAAATAAATAAAATAGCTAAAGTGTCCAAAGGTACATAGAGTTACACGAATGCATGACATCCACAGTTCACATAACTGTAGGAACCACCAGTGTTTCTCATAGCAGTAACGACAGGTTGGATTCAGATGCAGCCGGGGGGCCAGGATACCTTTGGGACTGCCTCTCCCCATATGAGCCCTGTAGAGCACTGAGATCTATAAACCAACACCTTCTGGTAGTCCCCGGCCCCAGGGATGTCCAACTTGCCTTGACTAGGGCCAGGGCCTTTTCGGCTCTGGTCCCTACCTGGTGGAATGAGCTCCCGTATGAGACCAGGGCCCTGCAGTTCTGCAAGATGGAGCTCTTCCGCCAGACTTTTAGTTGAGGCAGCAGATGTTCTCCCACCTGTGGTTGGCCTCCCATTGGTGTCCTAGATTAGAACAGCCACCTGGGAACCCACACTACTGTTCCATCTTAGTTGCTGAGGCATTTGATCAGATCTAGCTAGGTATTTTATGACTATTGTTCTGTTTTAATTTTGTTGTTTTAAATTGATTTTGTTATTGCAAATGGAATCTGCCCTGAGCTTGCTTGCGGGGAGGGTGGGATACAAATCTAATAAAATAAATAAAAATAAACCCTTCTTCTCCACTGATAAAAAAGGGAGGCGGGCCCACTTTGACCACCCAAAAAGGTCTTGCTAGGGATCATGGGGCCTGTACGTACAAAAATAATGTGGAATGGGTACCACTGGGGAATTAAGTGACATTGAGCAAAAGAGCTGGCTAGACCCAACAAAATCTATGGAAGAGCCGTAGTACACAGTGTAGACAGGTTTTGCATGCACACAACCAACAGGTGCTGGTGTGCCAGAATTCAGTCATAAAGCAAATGCATGCACAGTGGAAGTTAGAGTAGCCCCTGGGCTCCTGGCTCACGCTGCTGCTCAGTAAAGCCATGAGAGCAAAATGAAAAATGGTGCAATGGCATCATGTATATATTCTAAGAATTGCATGGATCCCCTGTGTTGGGAGGGATGGCTAAGTCATCTTGTTATGTCACATTGTTCTGGGTTCACTCATGTCTAGTCATCTCCTGACTCTCGTGGCAAGTGTGCAGCCGCCCATGCTTCGCCAGGATGGATGAGGGTGGCTTTTGTACCACTGCATCACAGTGCATTTGCTAGAGCCCTTAGTTATCATTTGAGTGCCACTATTAACTATATATCCTTCTATGAGATACAGAAAAGGCAGTTAAATATGTATTACAATTTCATGCGAGTTCTATATAAACCTGCAGGGTGGAGAGAGTGCATTTTAAGGGTTATTTCTGCAGCTATAAGGTTCTTGTTGGAGGCTCCAGTTTTCCCGTGTCATACACACATCTGCTGGTATTTCTGTTCATTAATGCAAATTGGAATTAAGAAATGCTGTGCTCTAAAGCAAATGCTGGCATATCAGAATAGATATTGGATTCATCTGCACAACTTCCCTTTGACTTCCTCTGCAATTCAATCGGGAGCATGCCCATTTAAAAGTGTTATGTACACAGACCGCCACCAGGGGTCTGCGGCTAAAGCAGGAGCTTGGTCCCCAAACACAAAGGGGACCTAGGATCCTAGTCCACCGGGAGTCCACCAATAGCACCCTTAGCGGGAGATTCAAACCCTCCAATGGGGACAGTGGTGTACCGGGTGGAGTGTATGTAGTTGACCTTGCAGGGCCGTTTTGTGTGTCTTGTTGTGAAGTCCAATAAACGCGTCTGAACACATGTTGTGGTCCAAGTTTTCCATGTGTCGAACCCAGTACTTTTCAAAAAGCATATGAAAGACTTCGACCTGAGACCATAGAGAGCCATGGTCAGCTAGACAAAACAACACTGATCTTGACAGACTCAGAATAAGGCTGTTCCACGTGGTTTTTCTCCCAAATGGAGAGCAGCATGACACTGTAGTAATTGTGAGAAGCACTTGTGTACCTTTTGTGGTTTTCCCAGATGCACCCACTCAAGTGGAGGGGGGGCTGCAGGTGGAGAATCCATGTGAACCCACTCTGCCCCCAGCCAATACAGGGAAGGGGCACAGAGGTAAGTTCCACCACCGTCAAAATGGTGCAGCGAAGATTTGCATTTCCTCTCCCCTTTTTAGCCCTTTAAAGGGCTTTCCTTTCCCCTCTTAGCAGTGGTGTAGCTTTATATCATGGCTCAGCTGGAAAGGGGAAAGGGAGAGTAATTGGCAGGGCTGTGAGGGGAGATGAGTGACTGTGGTCGCATTGATGCTTCATCACCGATGTGACAGAGGCAAAGGAGAGGGGCTGGGATAGATGCACTGACAGCAACAAGGTGCCTGGTGGCTAGGCATGTGAATACCACTCCTGCCCACTTTCATACCGCTTGCTGCTGCTACTGTAACCCCTAGCTAGGAATGGAATGAGCCAGGAACAGGTGGAGCCTCTAGATGCAGAAAGCTGCAGTGTGTGCAAAGGAGGGAAGCAGGGCTGCCATGCTGGGGAGCTAAAACCTTAAGCATAGTTTCTTAACACCTTGTTTAAGGTAACTATGGGAGACTTTTGTTCTAAATTGTAATTTGTAGAATTATTGTTTCAGGGCTGTGGTATATAATGGGGAGTTCATTTGGGACTCTCATCTAGGAAGCCAATGCATGGAGGGTTCTGCTGGAGACTTCTTGGGCCACCAACAAGAGGAAAGAGATGGTCTTTGGGGGTGGCGGGCTGTGAAGGAGGGAAAAGTTAACTGTTTGGACTTTAAAAGATTCCTGTTCGGTTGTGTTAGTAAGATCTACGTTTTTGTTACATGATATGATGTGAAGTGAACAGTAAAAATGTTTGATTCTCTTTGAATTATTGCAAGAGCTATTCCAAGTTCTGCCCTGTAGAGCCCCCAAATGGAGGTTACACTACCACAGCGGGATGCACTTTTGTTCCTCTGTGTGGCAGCAACCAAAGGTAGCTTCATGTATCTTAATTTCTTTAATCCTATGTTAAGGGCTGTATGAGAGTCAGGGTACACAAGTGATGCTGCCCCAGACAATATCTCCACCACAAGTTCTCCTGTTTCTTTGCTGCCATGTTCAGAGCACTCATCGTTGGATTTAATATCATCCTGAGGTGAGGTGTATTTCTCAGTCTCTGCAAAACAACAAACTGAGCAGAGGCTTGTTTATACGCTGCAGTACTAGAGGTCGTTCATCCAGGCTTGCCATTTTGAGTCATCAGCCCTTGTTTACGTGAGAAGGAACTTGTGCTGCCATGAATTCTAAGCTCCACCACTTCAGCCCCAACAGAGATCATAACCATGTTGTTGTTTATATGGTTACTTACACTGAAACAAAATAGAGAAGAGTCGAGAAGGCTTAATTATCCGAGGGCTTCCCCCTCACTTCCAGCTCACTTTGGCCTCTGATTAAATCTGTGAACATGTAAACAAATTAGAGATGGAAGCTACCTAAGGTGTTGATAACTTGGGAAAATAGATGTTATAAACAAGTCCTATATTTTGGGCTAGGCATTGAAGATGGAAGGGGGGGCAAGATGCCTGTTGATTACATAACATCCAAGTGGCAATATCATCAAATAAACACAATGACATTGATGGGAAAAGCATCATCTGTAGACTTCTTTATAGAAGGACAAAAAAAAAAGAAGGTGTTGGATCCAACCCTCTTATTCTGTTACCAGAATGGCACTGTCGCCAGTGAAGACACGGAGCAAATTTTGCTTATTCACCCCACCCCCAAAATCACACTGAACATTCAAACAGCATTCCCACCACCATGATTTCTACAGGTTTCCAGGCTCCCAGGGGCAGCATTTAAGAGCATACTATGGGCTGTAATGGGAGGCAGGAGAGTTCCATTCCATGTTCGTGGGATGGAGGATCCAACCCAGGCCTGTAGCCAGGAATTTCTAAGTTAGGAGGCATTTAAATTCCTTGGAGGGCAGTGGCTAATACAATTAAATGTAATTTAATTAACTTGATCAGCACAGCGCAGGGGAGAAAGGTGCAGCGCAGGGGGAAGGCAAGGAGAAGTGGCGGCCACTGCAGTGTGGGGAAGTTCACGGTGGCTGCTGCATCTTACCAGAAAGTCAGGGAGTCTGGGCCAAAAGGAAGTGGGGGGCCTTGGTAGGAAGTCAGGGGGCCAGGCCCCAAAATGCCCCAGTGTAGCTACGGGCCTGCTCCAACCCAAAGTTTATTTCAAATGACATATTAAAATAATGAAAATGTGCCTATTCCCGATGCCCCCACCCACCAAGTATGATTATGATACTTTTATTGAAACAGCAATCTACCCACACAACAGGATAAATTAAAGACGGAACAGATGAAATACAAACTTTAAATATATAGTCATGATGCAGAACCTATGAGCCATTAACACTCAGATACACAAACACACACACACAAACAAGTGCAAGCCAAACTAAATGGCTATGTGTGAGCAGTGATGCCAGCTGGCCTGGAGTGACATATTCTGTCCCTTTAACAGAAGTTTGATGTGTGGAACTGGGCAGCTGAAGCTTTTCACAGCATGGAGGTAAAGAACATCACTTGGTAAATAATATCCCATTCTACAGGCCTGTCAGCATCTCTTACCATGGGTGTATTTCAAGCCCAAATCCAGGCTTTCTGGGTCCCAGTGTAGTTCAAAACAAATTCAGATGGAGCACTATCCTGTGTGGTCACAGTATAAAAACCTCTAGGCTTTGCTGTACAGTGGCAACATTCCAAGTTTTTGACAGGATCTGGAGGTTCAAGCCTTTGCATGCTTCCAGATGACCCTTCCTTTGCGGGGGGGGGGGGGGGTGCGTT